GAATACTGGTTGATGGTGTCATTTACTGAAACAGAGAATCTTGGGTAAAGAGTAGGTTTGTGGTAAAAGGGAACTGATTTCTGTTTTGGAGAGTTGAGTTTGAGGCATTTAACACATGGACCAAGTTGGCAGTTGAGTTTAAGGGATGGAAGGATAAGACATTGCCTAGAAAGAGAGCACTAGAGAGAAGGGTCAAGTCTTGGATGAAATGTCAACCTTTGAAGATTGAATGGAAGAGTAGGAGAGAGCAAGGGAGACCAGCAAGGAGTGACCAGTGAATTGAATGAAAATCAGAAATTTTTTGGTTTCAGTAGAGTCAAAGCAAAAAATTGTTTCAAGGAAAATCAAAGGCATTGAATATGGTTGAGATTTTAACTAAGATAATATCTTTTGGATTTTGTGATACTGAGGTCATTGGTGACATTAGCATGGACAGTTTTGGAGTGGAAAAGTGGAGGCAGGGGCTGACCCAGTGATATAGTGGTTACGTTTGTGTTATCTGCTTCAGCGGCCCTGGGTTTTTGGGTTCAATTCCCAGGTGCGGAGCTACATACTGCTCATCAAGCCATGCTGTGGTGGCATCCTGAGAACAAAGTAAAGGAAGATTGGCACAGATGTTAGCTTAGGGCCAATCTTCCTCACCAAAACAAAGAAAAGTGGAGGCAGAAGACAATTTGGTGTGCAGTACGTGGAGACAATAAGTAGAAACAACTCCTAACAAGTTTAACTGGAAGAGAAGAAGAGCAAAGAGCAGGAGTGGCAGGAGTGAGAGGCAAAATAAAATAGATAAAGTGTATTTTTTCTTTTTTTGAAGGTGAGAAAAGCAAGATTATCTGAGATAAGAAAGCTCAGGTAGACTAACACATTGAAGACTCAGGAGACAGGAGATAAAGTGCAAGATTCCCGAGATGGCAGGAAGAAAAGGACTTGAGCAATGGTGAGGGAATTGGACTTGAATGGAAGAAGATGTACCACTTCCATGGTAGGAGGTGGGCAAATTTGGTTTCAGGAATTGAAAGCCTTCCTCTCTGATACCTTATGCGTTCCCTGCAAAGCAAGAAGTAATCATTTACTGAGAGTGAGAAAGGGTGGAAGTTTAGAGGTTTTACACTACTGTGGAGTTCTGAAATAAATGAAATCACAAGTCAATTAGAAAAGAGTAGCAGGATTGCCAAGCAATAATGAAGGTCTATTTAACATTGGTATCCATAAATTTAGAGGTATCAATCTGATAAGTTTTGTACAATGCTTTATTTATTTTTTGGGGGGAAGTTAAGGAGATTGTCGCTGAGCTAACGTCTATGCCAATTTTCCTATATTTAGTATGTGGGATGCCGCCACAGCATGGCTTGATGAGTGGTGTGTAGGTCTGCCTCCAGGATTCGAACCCACAAACCCTAGGCTGCCAAAGTGAAGCACACAAACTTAACCACTACACCATCGGGCCAGTCCCTGTATAATGCTTTTTTAACCAAGTACAGTGTGTCCAACAATGGAGCATCGTTGCCTGGATAACAAAGAATCTCTCATCTCTTGCTACATCTCTATGCAACTTATGTATAAGCCTGTAAATTGCCATGCCTATCCATGCACCCATGCATTGTCACCACATAAAGATGAGCACCTAACGCTCTTATCCTCAAATCTAGTCTTGAAACCACTTTCCCTAACCCATTTCTTGTTTACAAGCCATTTATTGGATCTTAGGATCATTTTTTATACAACCATGGTTCACCTCACAAAGACTAAATTCCCATTGCTTCCACCAATGATGACCATTCAGATTGTCCTTCAGTATATGCTATCTCGTGCTACCATAAAGAAATGATTTTCATTTGAAATTAGAAATGCTCTTTAGTCATTGACCTAAGGGTAAATAACCCAGTTACATTATATCCACAACCTAGAAAACTTCTTGTCTACTCTCTTGCAGCACATTCTCCCTCTTACTCTAGTAATCAATGATACTCTAGTATCATTGCCTCTAACAAGAAAACACCCACAAAAATACCCTATAAAATACAGATTTTCCATATCTCAAGATCAAATTTGTGACCAACTCAAAGCTTGTCTAATATTGAGTGAGGGAAGGAGAGTTTACAGAAGATTTGAATTAAGCTATTCTGAAGTGATCCCCAGCGACTTCACTCACTAAATCTGAGGATCAAAAAGGATCAGGGGTGGGGACAGTAGGTAGACCCAGCAACAAGGAGACTCAAATTGTACAAATGTTAGCTTTTCAACTAAGTGAAACTTAAACGTTTGGGCACTATGGTTTCATTTTGAAATTTGACGAAATCTATGAAGACGCTCCCTGAAAAATGCACACAGAAACATATCCACATGAATTTTTATTACAGTTTGAAGAGTTTCCCAGGAACCCTGAGTGTAATCCATGAGCAGTGGCTCATATATCGCCAAATAAATAATCACTATTCAGAGTAAAGTCAGCATATTCTTTGAGATCTCTTCAGCCAGCCCAGGCATTCTAGATCTCAACCCTGAGAACCACTCAGAATTACATTTGTCACAATGGATGTGAGGGAGAAAAATAATCACCCTCACACATTTTAATAATACCTGTCCTAACAAGGTAGCAAGTTTCTCTTAACCTAGAACCCAAAATTTAGAGTAAACCTTTACATTCTTGAAGGATACATATTGGAAAATTTTACATGTTTTTTAAATTAATTATCATAAGTCAGGGGTTATGTCACAGAAAAAAATTACAGAGATGAAAATAAGGTTAGAGAATCACAGGCTGGAGATGTGGATTCTGGGTAGGCTTACCAATCATCCCGATTTGCTCAGGTATAAGAAAGGCTCCCAGGATGTAGGGCTCTCAGCACTAAAACCCAGCAAATCCCTGGGAAAGAGGGGTGAATTAGTCATCCAAATAGGCAGACAACTTTGTTCACTCTTAGTCAGTGCAGCATGGCTCAGAAAACTAGCTTCTGTCAGCATAATTAATTCAAATTTATGCTTAGGGAAAATTACAAGTAATGACTAAAATTTGTTGTAAGTTTACTTTGTGGTAAGCAGAGAGATTAACACTTTCACATGGAATATCATTTTTAAATCTAACTTTATAACAGAGGTATTACTATTACCACATCTTAAGGATGAGATTCAGTAATTAGCTCAAGATCACATAGCAAGTGGAAGGTCCCAGTTCAAACACAAGACCTCTGCCTCCTGGGCTTAAGCTATTAACCACAGCCCTAATATACACTAAACCTTTGGATTCATTTGAAAACTGTAGAAAACATCAATGTTAAGCTTAAGAATACAAAGTGTGTACTTTTTTCTCTGACCTAATCACTCTCATCTCAAACTGTTAATGAGGTAAGATATAAAAATACCATATGTGGAGTGAATAAGATGGAGCTGGACATTCAAGGCAGGTTCTGATACTGAGAAAGCCATTTTTAAATGAAAGTGACCAATACATTTGTAAAGCAATGAGTAAAATGCATATGAACAATTCCACGTGCTTAAAACAGAGACAAAGGGGAGGAACAGGTCAGATATTGGTTTTAACAGTTTCAGCAATATAATTTCTTTAAGAACACACTTCATGTTCTCATTATAATCAGGGAGAAGATATTCAAAGAGTATGTCAACCTTAGCATCCTTTACAGAGAAGTATTTGCATTAAAAAGTAGAGCATATTACAATTTTGCACACATTAGATTTCTTGGCTATTATTGTCTGAAAATACAGTCACTATTTTATATAAAGCCAAGTTTGTTTTAAAATCTCTGAGAATACATGAAGACATTCAGGTTTGTGCTGAAGACTGGATAGCTTAAATGTAAGGACAAAGGCATTCACCTCTACAGAGACAGTAGAGGGTATCATATTTCTAATTAATTCTTCTCCCTTTGTTTCCCAATCAAACACAGCATGAGTCTCATGTATATTTTGAAAGACATGGTGCTAGTGTTCAAGCATGAACTGGACAACTATCTATCGGGCTGTTATATAGTGGACTTGTACATCAAGTAAGAGTACAGACTACTAATAACCTTTCCAATTAGACTTTCTCTAAGTCTGTGCATTTCTAAAGTTAAACTCTAAATTTTCAAAATGTCATTTCCAATTCTATCCATAATATATCCAAGAATTAAACCCCACTGACATTTATGAATCAGGCTAGGACATTCCATTTATTTCTACAGTAGCAAGTATTTGAAATATTGGAAAGCCTTGGGAAATCTGTGAGATGAGGGGCTGTTTTCTTCCCCCCGGATAAAACATAAATTTTCTTTTAAAGTAAGGGCAACCAAAAGGAGACACTATCTGTAAAATTTTAAGATCAGGTATTCATCATTGTGATTTTAAAAGTATAAGGCAACACAGATGGCTTATTCACTGGGACAGCATCACTGAAGGCAATCTGGTCTGATATTGAATACACCTGTTGGAGGTGGAAGGGGGAGGAAGGAAGCGGGAGAATTTTTATCTTCCAAAATTATCCAGAAATATTACAGTAAAAATACTTGGCAACTTCTTTCTATATAGTCCAAACTGACTGAAGATAGATGGTTTGGTTTCATTCATTTTATTTCTCCTTATAGGATATGTCCACATGGAACATGCCAAACTGACCATTGGAGCCACAAGCGTTCAGTCAAATAGCATGATTCACTAAATAAAAGCAAGCAATGGCTTAAAATGATTTTGACTTAATCATTCAAAGATTAAACTCATCAATCACCCAGTGAAATCAATTGTTTATGCATGCAAACATAGCTTTTATTTTTCTAATTCTCGAAGAGAATTGAGTTTATATGAGGATAAAGGATAGGCAACATTAATTAGATAGAGTTGAGAAGAAGGCAAATTTTAAGATGAGCAATGAGTAAAATTATTAGGAGCAAGAGGTGGGAAAGGGGAAAGGAGGAATTGATTTTAACTTCTGGCTCTGATTTGACTCTCCTTTTCAGTCACTTACCATTTCTCATGTCATTTTCCTTTTTCTGTTATATGGAAATTAGAGAGAAAAGATGATAGAGATAAAAGAAGCCAAGAGGACAACACGTTTAGATAAAGAAGGAGAAATAAAGTTGGAGCCTTGCCCAGGAGCTCTCTCCCAACATGGTAAGTGGAGGAGTTTCATTTCCTTCAAGGAAACAGGCTGTTTTGTCAGCACGATGCGCCTTGTTTTTTACTGCTATCACTCCGGTCACCACTGACACCATCTGGGGTCAGCACAAAGCTTGCTACCATGCTCAGCACCTGAAAAGCTACCATGATGTTTGCAACGTGATTCATCCTCTTACCTCCTGCCTCCACTTTGGGTGTAGATACTTAGGAGGTTTGGGAAGCCGTGATAGAATCACATTCTCGGTTGTCTTCCTGAAAATCCTCTAAATCACAGTTTACCTGCATTTTCGTCTCTCTCCCCTGTGTCAGATTATTGCTAAAATGCCACGTTCTCAGGAGATCTTCCCTGACATTTAAAACAGCAGCACCTGCCAGTGCTGCTTCGTTTTCCTCTCACGCTGATTATTATTGAACATGTCATGTAGTTTACTTATTTTATTACACCTATTGCCTTTCCCTACCTACCTTGCTTATTTCCATTAAAATCCATGAGGCAGGTATTTTCATTTGTCTTGTCCTTTGCTGTATGTAGTAGACACTCACCAAATATTTACTGCTCGAATTCATTATTTGTCTTGGTTACTATATCCAGGTCATATCAGAAGTATCTGACTTTGATTGTCTCTATTTCTTTAAGGAAAGCAGATAATATAATGGTCAGTTTAGTCCCCAAGTGTCATAGTGAGATATAGTGCTGATTTAGGAGGCTGGAGACCTGATTTGGTATCGTGATTTCACTACTACAACCTGAGCTTGGAACACTGAGCTTCAGCTTCCTCTCCCATAAAATCAGCATTAAAATAATACCCTCTTTTCAGTGCTATTGTAAATATCAGATAATTTACAGGGACAAAAAAGGTATACACAGTAAAATGTTATGGAAATATTGGTTAGTTCTGTTTAACAAAAAATCTAGCTGACTTATCTGAATTAGTAAGGAGCAGACTGATGCCTTCAAACCGTATTAAGATGTTTCTACTCCTCGGATATGATCTATGGTTCTAATTGACTGGAATCCTGAAAGAATTTACTGATGATCCCAAGTAATCCTGTCTTTCTCAAGTCTGTATGTTTGCAGACTTAGGTGTTAGTTGTAGCTGAATTATATGATAAAATCTATCTTTTATACATAATATTATGATGAACTGAACTAATTACAACTTTACTTTACATGAAGCATGCATTTTTCATATCATACAACTGACTCTTTAGCAAATGCTCTTCACTTTAAAATTTTGAGAAGGAAGTCATTCTTTGGTATGTTTATTGTCACTTGAGAAAAATTGGTGTGGTAAGCTTATTGTTTGGAGAGAAAATTGTATTTGACTGTATAAAATAGCCTACTTTTCATACCAGTGGCATAACACTTCATTTTAGAAATGTGGCATTTTAATATTGTAGGAACATGAAAAGGAGGTGATTTCAGTCACCACTTAAGAATCGTGAGCTCAAAGGACATCTAAGAAATCTTTAAGGAACAAAAGAGCTGGAAATGAAGGGGAAATGGCTGGATAATTTTTTTTTGCCTTTTATTTGAAGTCCATCTGAGTTTGTTTCTCACTTGATTCAGATTCATTGCTCAGTATTAATTCTGATGCTAAGCAAAAAAATTGAGGCTGCAGGAGAAGCTGCATCAAGCTGAGAAGCAGGTAGGCCTATGTGTCTACACTCTTACATCCAAGAGAAAATTCAGTGCCATTTGTTGTAATTAATCATGGTGATTCCATTGTTAAGTTAGATTCTCAAAACCTGACACAAGCCAAGAGTACCCTGCTAGAGCTGTTATATCTGCTGAGGACTGAATGTATCCTTGTCTGATTTTCACCATTATCTTAGTCATTTTTTCTTCTTACTTCAGAGACCTCTTTCATAAAGCTGATAGAGCCTTCAAATTCTGCCTCATTGTATTAATCTGAACAGATATAGAGTGACTAAAAGAAAAACCACCACAGATAGTATGATTAGGGTGTATAGAGGTCACTGATCTAATCCACTCACTTCGTAGAAAAGGAAACTGAGGTCAAAGAAGGCTGAGTGATTTGTTCAGAAAATGAGAGATGGAGAAGTAAAGAGTGAAGTCTCTATGTAAAGTTAAAACTCTTTCTATGTCATATTCTCTACCCTGAGAGTTCCTTTTGATCTACTTGACTATTGCTAAATATTAGATTACAGCAACAAAATAAGTCATTACATATCTATCAAAGAACGGGCAAACTGAGAATTGGGGTAGATGTTTATTACTTACATGAGAAAATACACAGGAAGTGTTTAGATCAGTGGCAGGCATTCACTAATTATTCAATGAATGTTAATCAACATACATTTATTAGGCACTAAGATTCCTTGAGTAATAAGATCTGAGGTATTTGTGCACTTTCTTAGAATTGGACAGTGTGAATCATTTATATAGCCTTGCATTAGCTCTTGTGACATTGAATAATCTACATAACCACTGCAACTCACTTTCCTCATCTGTAAAAAGTAAAGCCAATAGTAACCACCTAGTGGTCATAAATGGTGGTCATCATTATTAAAATCTCTCATTTTCTCATCGTGATAGCAGCTAATGTTACTCAACATTTTAATCCACCATTGAGAAATTGAGATAGACTGCAGTTGACAACCATCTCGCTTCCCTCTACTTCCTAGCACAGGGAATGACTCCATTTCCCACCCCCTTGAAGTTAAGTGAGCCCATAGGACTTTCTCTGGCCACTGACATATGAGGAGAAGTGATATGTATCATTCCCAGGTGGAAGCACGTAAGAGTGCTGAGTTATTCTTTATCCTGTCTTTCCATTGACTGGTATTCTGGATGATCACAGCCTACATCAGCCTCAGCGAGGACCACATAGAACAGAGCACCCTGCCAATGAAAGATGGACATGTAACACGAACAAAAAACAAACTTGTTATGTTTTCTGCCCCTGATGTTTGGAGATTGTTTTTTCCTCATTGCAGTATAACCTAGACTATCCTGATAGATAAAAGAAAAGGTTTCAAAGTTAAATCTTCATGGTAACTATTCACACAATAACATCTACATAAATCCTTACTAGTATTGAACTTTTCCTACAATAATTCCATATAACTTGCTAATTCTGTCCCTCATATATATCAACAGGTTCATTCAATAATATTTTCTGAGAACACCTGTGTACACGACACACCATATTCTGTAATTTCTAAGACAGTGACTTTTGCACAGCAGACATGTAGTAGATGCTTGTTAAACTGAATTGTTGAATTGAATTAGATCATGCCATTATTACTCAGAAGACTACGTTTTAGGATAATTATTAACTAGTATGCAATTCTGGCTCTAGAAGACTAAGGCAGACATCTATCAACCTAACATACTTAAGCCCAGTTTCACCTGTAAATAAGAAGGTACCACTGCTGTCCATCAGAATTCCCCTTTGTAATCTTAGTTCTGTCTATGATTGTGCTGAATGCCAAGTGGACATGGAAAATTATATAAGGAAGGTAAACCTTAGGCCAAAGTTTGAAATTTATGTTTGTGCTTTTCTGTCCTCTAATGTCACTTTCTGCCTTCCTAGTCCTCCACACCAAATTCTGGACATATATGTAATGAATGTTATCTGCCCACTAAACCATAAGGCTCTCCAGTTTTTTTGTCCTGGATCCCTGATCCAAATCCAGGTAGTTCAGCCCGAGGATTAGCCAATCAAATGTTTCTGTCAACATAATTTACATGCCTGATTTAGGATTGGTCAACTAGAGTCAACCAGAGCCAATAAGAACCAAGGAGCATGAGTTCTGAAACTTCTGTTATAGCAAATAGGAATAAGAAATTCCCTTTTTGCTGGGGGACTGAATGAAGTCTGAAGCTTCTGCTGGCGTCTTGCCACAGTGACAAAAGAACCTTACCTAACTTGCAAACTAACACATAGAAAAACATTAGAGAGAGAGAGAGAGAGAGAGAGAGATTATCCTTCTTCAGTCTTCTCTCCCCTTTCCAGTCTCACCAATTTCTCTTCCAGACTTGGGAACATGATGGCTTGGCAATTCTCTTGGCAATTGTGCAACAGGGAGACTCAATTTGTGGTCTCCTAGATCATCAATTATCTCCTTCACTCTCCTATGACATTGTCTCCCCATTGACTATTACAAATATTCACTCTTCTCTCCAAGCTCCTCCTCCCTAGTTTCACATCTACCTCTTCAGTTCCAGAAGATGGCTCTCCCTCCTAATTCAGATAAAAATAGACATGCCACGTAGCAACATTTCAGTCAACAATGGATGGCATATACAACGGTGGTCCCATAAGATTAGTACCATCAGACTAGGCATGTAGTAGGCTATACCATCTAGGTTTGTATAAGTACACTCTAAGATGTTCGCATAACGACTAAGCCACCTAACGACACATTTCTCAGAACATATCCCCATCATTAACCAACACATGACCATATTTGTGATTAATCTACCTCTTTTCTTCCTGACTCGGTGAAAGAATTGTTCCTTCTCTTTCAAGCTAATTCCTCTATATGAGCTCTAGATTTTATCCTTTCCTATTGTTTGTAGAACTCCTCTTATACTCATATTCTCTCTCTCTCTATCCCTTTCTGTCTGCTCATATTAACATGTATTCATGCAGCTATTGGATTGCCAAATTTAGCAAAAAAATAAAATACAAGACATCCCCTTAACTTTCAGATAAACAATGAAAAACTTAATTTAGATGCATCCCAAATATTGCATAATATACAAAAAATATTTGTTTTTTATTTGAAATTCAAATTTAACTGCACATCCTATATTTATTCTGGCAACTCTACTCAACTACTGTGCACCACAATCCACAAAAACAAGAAGGGCAGAGCATCTCATGGCTTTTCTCATCGTCCATATCAAGTCATTCTGGAGCTTGGTCTGGGCTTCATTCTGTTGCATCCTCACAGAAAGGCTTTCAAAAATATGGACTTCGGAGCATCATTCAGCTGTCGTTATGTCAAAAGATTCCTTACTG